GTACAATTGTATGGGGAGTGTGTATACAATTGTATGGGGAGTGTGTATACATTGTATGGGGAATGTGTATACACTGTATGGGGAGTGTGTATACAATTGTATGGGGAGTGTGTATACAATTGTATGGGGAGTGTGTGTACAATTGTATGGGGAGTGTGTATACAATTGTATGGGGAGTGTGTGTACAATTGTATGGGGAGTGTGTATACAATTGTATGGGGAGTGTGTATACAATTGTATGAGGAGTGTGTATACAATTGTATTGAGAGTGTGTATATAACTGTATGGCGAGTGTGTATACAACTGTATGGGGAGTGTGTACCCGAACATAGTTATGGTATAGCAAACAGAGCCATAAGCGAAGCATAACGTTAACGTACCTGATCAACCGGCGTAAACCTGGGCACCCGCACGCGCATGGCCTGGGGCCCTCCGTAGAGATTTGGGTCAAATGTCAGCGCTACGGCAGCCACGAGGTTAGAGCCCATATCTACCAGACCACTCAGAGGCTTAGCAAACAGACCCACAACACCCACACCACAGCCGTAGCATAGGCCTTGCACTCCGCCTGTGGTAGGTAGGCATGTGGTTGAAAGGTAGGTACGAGAGTGTGTGAGTATAGTATAGATGTATCTCAGGTGTAGTAGGGAAGGTATGTATGTGACGAGAGAGAATGGGTGCATTGCAGTGCCTATCTCAATTAAAGTATTTGTAGTATTGGCGGAACGAGCAAGCATGACTTTAATAGGGAAACCAACTCAATATAAGTAGGAATTGTACAGCGGTGACGAGAAAGCAAAAGTATACTATACTATATATATAAATACACACACACACACACACACACACACACACATACACACACATACACACACAGACACAGACACAGACACAGACACAGACACATATATATATATATATATTTATATATATATATATGCATATACCTGATTCAGCTCCTGAGAGTGGCTGCAACACCACCCCACTGACCCCTCCATATACCCCTTTGACCATGGCAATGCCCCCCTTCTTGAACGCTTTCTTGAGCGAGCGTGGTTTACCAGCCAATAGGATCTGCCGATCGCGTTGGAATTTCTTGTCAAATGACGCATTCGCCAATCCTATTGGTGGATATATATACCCGTTCAATTTCAAGCGGTTTAATTGGCGGAAATGTGACAGTAAATCTTATAGTCTGGCCGTTTAATGTAAGGTGTGTGTAAAGCAGACAATGGGAGCGTTTTGAAGGTAGAACAGTGCATGGTACGTAACCTTGTGTATGAGAGAACGACAACACTTTGTCGTATTACCTGACTCAGTCCGATAAGGAACAAACCCTAAAACCCAAAAACCCTGAGACTACTGACTCGAAATACAGGCTGCTTTGCATATACAGAAGTGGAGGATAATTGAACATCTCTCATAGTCGGCGTTTGTCGGTGAATGTTTACGTAACGAATCACTTTCCAAATCCGTGTATCATTGTACAGCCGTATATTGCCCATAGCGTATGTATACACAAAACGTAACTATGTTATAATTTTATTTTCTCGCCGCACCATAAAGAACAATATTTTCTCACATGTATGATCTCAGTGTAATTATAGATCCAGAACAATATAGCAAGACAAATNTATATATATATATATATATATATATANGTNTANATATATA